TAATAGTAGCAACAGCAAAAGTTGAAGTCGTAGTAGTAGTAGTAGTATTAGCAGTAGCAGCAGTAGTAGTAATACTATAAATATTAGCAGCAGTAGTAGTAATTGTCGCAGTATTAGTAAGAGCATTCATTATTTCAACAAAAAAGCCTAATTTTGAGCGTAACGTTTAAATACAGTTAATCCATAGGGCTTTTATTTTGAAAGGGTGGGGCTGGGTGGGGGAGAGAGGGGGAGGAGGAGACAGAATCAGAAAGTATGAAACACACAAACAGAGGTTATTAAATGACAGGCTTCATCACAAGCATTCCAGTTAGAATTCACTCTGTGGGGCTTTTATTTTGAAGTGGGGGGGGGGGGGGGGGGGGGGGGGGGGGAGTCCTGTAAAAAGCTGTAAGACCTGAATATCACACCTCTCCTGAAAGAGCTGAACATTTTGATATTCGAACAGTTTCTGTAGCTTAAAAAAATTTCAGCAGTAGTGATATTTGTTGTAGTGGTAGTAGAAGTTGTAGTTGTATAAGTATTATTAGCAGTATAAGTATTAGTAGCATTTGAATAAGCACTAGTTGTAGCAGTAGTGATATTTGTAGTAGCAGTAGTAGTAGAAGTTGTAGTCCAAGTATCAGTAGTAGTAGAAGTATTAGTAATTAGAAGAAGAAGTAGTAGAAGTAGTATCAGTAGTCGTAGTAATAGCTGGAGTAGTGGTCGTAGTATTTAATATAACAGTAGTAGTAGTAGAAGAAGTAGTAGTAATAGTAAAGTCAGTTTTTGAAGTCGTAGTAGTACTAGTAGCAGTCGTACTAATAGCTGTAGTAGTAGCAGGAATAGCAGTAGTAGCAGTTGTGGTATAAGTAATAATAGTAGTGGTAGTGGTAGTAATAGCAGTAGTGGTAGTAATAATAGTGATGGTATCAGTAATAGCAGTAGTAGTAGTAGTAGTAATAGCAGCAACAGCAAAAGTTGCAGTAGTAGTAGCAGTAGTAGTAGTAGTGATACTAGAAATATTAGTAGCAGTAGTTGTCGCAGTATTAGTAAGAGCATTCATTATTTCAACAAAAAAGCCTAATTTTGAGCTTAACGTTTAAATACAGTTAATCCATGAGGCTTTTATTTTGAAAGGGTGGGACTGGGTGGGGGGGAGAGGGGAGAGGAGACATAATCTTAATGTTTGACACACAAACAGAGTTTATTAAATGACAGGCTTCATCACAAGCATTTCAGTTAGAATTTATTTTGTGGGGCCTTTACTTTAAAATGGGGTGTGTGTGTGGGGGGGAGTCCTCTTAAAATCTCTAAGACCTGAATGACTGTATGAAAGAGAGAGAGAGAGAGAGAGAGAGAGAGAGAGACTGACCTCTCTGGCAATCTTTCTCATTTGGAGATTGTCCTATGTTTTATCATTTACAGCTTACATGACTATTGTCCTGCTCTACCATGTCTTTCCTCGTCTCTCCCTCTTGTGTCGCGGTGTGTGTAAATGTCACTCGAATCAGGAAACTTATCAGAATACCCATATTTGATTGGCTGAGCTGCATCACGTATATCTCTAAATCATGTGTGTGCGGCTTTTATTTTAAAATGGGGGGGTCCTCTAAAAGTCTCTAAGACCTGAATGACTGTATGAGAGAGAGAGAGAGAGAGAGAGAGAGAGAGAGAGAGAGAGGAGTGTATGTGTCTGTGAGTCTGTGTTTATCAACATCACTAATTAGCTTAATCAGAAACACCTGTGTCCTTGCAGCCTTTTCATGGAGATAAAACAGGGAAACACCTCTCAAACAAATCCTCAAAACTCCCATAACTGTAGCTCCTATCGCTCCGATATTAATAAATGAGTGGAAGGATGAGTTGAAGAACAGATCCTGTAAAAATTGTGTCTGTAGTGTAAAAAATGTGGCTCAACTGGCGATCTAGAAATGAGGTACCGTGTTCTGTGGAGGATGTTTTTGAAGCAAAATGTAACATTGGTCTCTATGGAGCAGAAAGTTGGTTTTCCTCTCAATTACAGGCTTCTGTGCCAAATGTGTAAATCTGTGGGATTCCACAGTCATTTGTCTACGACAAGGACAAGATTAGCTACTTTTAAATCCAGAAATTATGCATGAAGAGTGAAGATTGTGGACACAGTGGCAAAATACAAATGTTTTTTTCACAAGAATCTCAAACTGCTCTTCACTCTAGCGGTGACATCACGCACTCTAAGCTGCGCAATACACACCCATTATAAAGTCAGAAAAGGAGTGAAAAAATCATAAAAGTTAAAATGGGACAGTTCAAAAAGAACTTCCACATGTTTGAATGTGTTACTCTAGCTTAGCTTTTTTGGCAGGTCATTCATATACGACATTAATATTTATAATCTGATGATTTCCAGCGATGCACAACATCAACATTATCATATATTGCTCTTAACAACTTGGCTTTAAAATGCGTCAAGTAAAAAGTTACTGGTCGTGTAACATGTTATGTATAGCGATTAAGCCCTTCTCAACTACACACTGTTACATGTACACTCAAATAACTTGGTGTTGAGAGAGATGTGTCACGGTAATTTGCTTTCATTAGTTAGCCTATATAGATAAATAAATTAAGTAAACACACAGACTGAGAAAGATCTGACTTGTGGACCGCCTTGTCCAAATGCACTGTGTCACACTGGGAGTGTTTGTCTGTGACTCTGTGCGTAGCTTCCAGTGCTGTGCTTGGCTGCTCTGTCATCACAGCGTTGCTATGATCTTTCTGTGAGACATTTATCTCACTCAGGGCTGGGAATTCAACTGGAAACAGGATGTATTGAGGCGATAGGCTTCTCACACAGCTTATGTGTCTTATTGTCTCAGCTGAATGTGTAGTATTAACACAGGTTAAGGTGGAGGCAGGGTGAGACACAAACACACGCACGCACACTTAATCTGATGTTGAATCACAATGTGGCCGATACAATTGTCCTCAGAAACCTCCTACCTTTATGTGTCCAAGGTTCAGCCCAGTGCATTCCAGTTCCAGGACTTATTGAAAGACTTCTAGTTGTAACCAGAAGTCTTCAGTCCTTGAAGCTACAATAACCTGTAAAACAATGAGTACATGACTACAATTCTACTAAACTGCATTTTAGGCCATATCTAATTTTATAGGTAATAATAATATAATCATATATAATTTTCTAGCAAGAAATTGATATATGTTACTGTGAATTCTTAGAAAGGTTCCTAGGAAAAGAAAGGTAACTGGTACTAATGACAGAAACGGTGTTGATTTTGAACATTTTGATTCATTCAGATGACATGCTAGTGTAACCTAGACAGGCTTGTATCAGATCAGCTGAGCTGAAAATTAAATAAAAATGCAAATATGTTTCCTTAAAAGGACAATGTTATTTGGAATTACAAATTACAGACCCATACAATTAGTTTGTCTACAGAGCCAAAAGGTCTGTAGACGACACAGTCAACATGGCCCTCCACTTCATCCTCCAGCATCTGAACTCCTCAGGAACCTACGCCAGGATCCTGTTTGTGGACTTCAGCTCTGCCTTCAACACCATCATCCCGTCTCTGCTGCAGGACAAGCTCTCCCAGCTGCACGTGCCCGACTCCACCTGCACATGGATCACAGACTTCCTGTCTGACAGAAAGCAGCACGTGAAGCTGGGAAAACACGTCTCAGCCTCCCGGACCATCAGCACCGGTTCCCCCCAAGGCTGCGTTCTTTCCCCTCTGCTCTTCTCCCTGTACACCAACAGCTGCACCTCCAGTCACGTTAAGCTCCTGAAGTTCTTGCATGACACCACCCTCATTGGACTCATTTCTGGTGGGGATGAGTGCGTCTACAGGTGGGAGATTGACCATCTGGTGAACTGGTCCCTCCACGGCTTGTGAACAAACGTGTTTGATTCCCTTCGCTCTGGCAGGAGGCTGCGGTCCATCAGGACCAAGACCTCACGCCACAAGAACACTTTCTTCCCCTCTGCAGTTGGGTTCATCAATAATGCCCGGGACCCCCACTGACTCCGACACTTACATCCCCATGACAATTTCTTACAGTTACACACTCTTGCACATCTTTCTATCTATTAATACACACTTGATTAGGTACTATTATTTGTTTGTTTGTTTTTCATATTTTATTGTACTTTTCCTATTTTTTATTCATTCTTGATGTCCTATACCATTGCACTGTGTTTATTGTTATGCACCAATCACCGAGCCAAATGTCTTGTATGTGTAACGTACTTGGCAATAAAGAGTTTCTGATTCTGATAGAGCAGCACCCTCTTCTGACATGTAAGGATGCTCTGAGCCCGTATGCCATGCAGCGTTGGAGCGTTTTAGCATAATCTTTTCCTTCTCTTTATTACTACCCATGGTTTGAATCACAACTAAAGATTTTGAATTCATTTTATCTTTACCTATTTGAACAGTGAGAAGAAGGTCACATCTGTGATTACTTGGCCTGAAGTGACTGAATGTGCAGCAAGTTTGTGGGAACAAATACAAGTGTTCAAAGAACTCATAGAATAAATATGATCTTCAAAAATGTTTGTGTAGTTTAAATAATTCTTAAAATCAATAATAATGAACAAAGTTCAGCATTAAATGAAATCTATCAGCTGCTCATTTATTTACATCTAAAGCAGGTCCAGTTGTCCCTGACTTTGCCCTTCTGCATACATTCTAGTTTGAATGCTCAGGGAAGACGCTCTGCTCTCTGTTGTTATAAGAACGTCTGCTGTATTTAAGTGAGGGGAAGATGTGAGCTCTACCGCAGCAGCTTACAGTCAGAACTGATGTTTGTTGTCGAGGTTTGGTTTTGATTTTACTTCAAAGAAAAAGAGAGGTGATTTGTCAAACTAGGAAAGTTACGTACACACACTCACACATACGTACTCACACACACTCACACATACGTACTCACACACACTCACACATACGTACTCACACACACTCACACATACGTACTCACACACACTGTGCATGCAGAAAGAAATCAAACAGAAACAGACATGCTCAGTATGATCTTTATTAATGAGATCTTTGTGGGTTTATAATTCTATCAAGCTAAAACTAAGTATGCTAATACACTAGACATAAATACAGGAATTATGTATGCAGATGATGTTGATATTGATTCAAACATGACAGTTCAGTTATGGTCCTATTAATTCATGCTCATTACATAACTGGCCAAAGCACATGGTTTTTGCCTCATCTCCTGCGTCGACGTGACTTGCCGCTGAAGGTAGTATTCGCCATTCCGCTGTGGCCGGGCACAGAGCAGTCTGTCTTGAGGCACCCACAGGAGTCGATGTGGATGTAGGTGTAGCTCAACTTTGTGTTGTCAGGGCAGGAGAGCTCGATCGTCCGCTCGGTTGTAGCCAACTCCTGGCAGCAGGAGCAGGAGTGCTGCAAGGATCTCAGTTTGGTAGAGTAGCTGACAGAAGAGAGAGAGGACGGTGTGAAGAAAGGGAAAAGAGAGAGGTGACAAAGAAAGAAGGCAACAAGGCAATTGGGAAAAAATAAATTTAGTTCAAGAAAATTAGAATTTAAGACTACAGAGCTACAAAGTTTAGAAAGTTCCCCAATATGGCCATCGTATGATCTATACCACATCTATACAGAACTGAGATCAACTTTTTTTTCAATCTATAGTTTCAGTTTTAATCATTTCTGATGATTTAAAGGGGCAGTCCAATCATTTTGCAAATAAAGAGCAGTTTTACAGCTCATGGTTAGTACTACTGAGCCTGTAGTACAATGTGTTCTATGGCTCGGGGGGAACTTTGTCAAGTGTGAGGAAACAACCTTAGTGATGTCATAGTGATGTCATCGGGCTTGGAGACTTCACATATATAGCATTTGTATTCTATCTAATTGTATTGTTTATATTCCAATTAAAATAGGTTGACTTGCTGTGTGTGTAGCCTGGTGAAGGCAACAACTACATGTTATTTAAATAATGAATCCTTGACTAAAGTCAGGATCCCTCAGGCCTCTGCTACACTGGTAAAGACCATTCTTTTTTTCTCTCTTAGTTTCCCCAGCGCTATGTAAATGCTCCTTTAATGTGATAAAAGTACAATTGAAACACAATATTAAGACTATTCCCTGACACTGAGGACAAGGAAGAGACATGAGGGGGACTCACAAGGTGAAGGTGCCACATGCTCCACTACAGGCTGTCACATTGACCCGTTCTTTGGAGTGGCAGCCCTGGCTCTCCAGGTACACAGTAGTGGTGGACACGTTGCACACCCGACCCTTTGGAATACCTGAAGCAGGCAAGAGAAACATGTTGAGAGGGAAAAACATCTCATTTCACCTGATTTGCAGATCATAGATTCTGGCCCCACTGCGGCACTAATAATGGATTATCTGATCTTATTTTATCTTATCTTATTTTAAGAAAGCGCAAAGTACTGCAAACAGACACAAGCAATTGAAGAAACATCTTCACCAACTTGTCAACACACAAAAAGACCGATTTGTCTCGTAAAGTTGATGTTTTCGTGTGTTTTCAAGTTGGTGAATGTTTTCTAAATGCTGCGTATGTGAAATCTTTCCGCTTTTGCTTTTGTTGTGTCGATTTTCAGTGCGTTGAGCTCTAAGGGCCACCGTAGATCTGTGAACAGAAACTGAATACTGTGGTGCAAGAACAATTACGCATGGTTTTCTAGGGAGCAAACCCTGATGGAAAAGTTGACTTTGTTCAGTTTTGTTTTTAGAAGTAAAATAGATCTAACTGAGTAGGATCTGAACTACTGAGATCAATGAAGAGGCTCAATAAACCAATGATGCCTTGAATGTAGTCTCATCTGAACCATTAGATTTGGTGATCATTTCTATAAGCCCCATAATTGGATTGTATTGCAGATACCTTCATTATGCATTATTTAGTCCTATATGAACAAGACATCATGATTATTAGAAGCTCTAATGGACATCATGGGTTAGTGTAACCAGAGGGAGAAGAGAGTGTGGTCCGGCCACATGAGCATAAATAACATATAGGTACGAAAAACTCATGGAAGCAATACATACAGACAAGGCAGCATCCGTCCGGAGCTATGGTCTCTGTTCCCTGCAGGAGACACACATTCACATCAGTACTCTGTGGGTCATGTGTTCATGTTGTAGAGATTCACATGAGACTGCAGGTGGCACTACCACCTTTCCTTATACATGAACATCGTGACATCAGTTATGCATTTTATATTCCAACCTGAAGTACTCACATCTTCAGAGAATATCAAGCTACAATAATGAGGGTTGGTTGGTGTGTGTGTGTGTGTGTGTGTGTGTGTGTGTGTGTGTGTGTGTGCAGTCACCGGTATGCATTCTTTAGGGTCGTAGGGAGGACAGCTGATCTTGGCCTCTATGGTGATGAACTGATTAGCGATCTTCACACACTCATACTTCACACAGGGGTTGTCAGCAGGAGTCCAGATGGTGCCAGGCTAAAGAATAACAGAACATAATGTTGGATCAGAGCCACTTTCAATTCAATTCAATTTATTTTGTGTAGCCCAAAATCCCAAATCCCAAATTTGCCTCAGAGGGCTTTACAGTCAGTATATTATCATGTCCAGATGAACATGTGTGGATTGTTCTGTTTGACTCAGAGCTCTTCTGCCTCCCTGTGAAACACATGAGACTTGAGAGATTTGGTGAAAATCGGACCACACTAATTTAAAGCAACTAATTTTGACATTTTGACACCAAGTGCATTTTCATCAGATTGTTTTTTTTATTTTGTGTTGACTGTGATGAAGACGCTAGAAGTTAGTCTTGGAGTGTTTGTTCTCCAGCGTACTGTGGAGCAACTCTCTGAAGTCTCTCCTGATACATCAGCTGTTCTGAGAGGATCAGAGGCCTGATATCCTTGTGAGGCAGTTGAAGCGCGTTCAACCTTCTCCTCCATTTTCCCTCCTCATTGACTTGTCTGAATTTGTTTTTATATTTGTTAGTGTCATCAGATGAAGATGCACTTCACCTCTTGTTGATTTGTGCTGATTCTTGTGACATGGAAAGTTAACCTTAAAGGGACATACCTACCTTTGGTTTTGTATGTTTTAGTCAATGTTCTACACCATTTAAATAGTTGATGATTATTTCACTATAGAATCCAAATCAACAGAGACTTGAGCCTTGATTAACAAAGGTAACCCATGATGTCGTCATCAGAGTGATTTTAACATACAGTACATTTTAAAAGAATAAAAGCAGAAATTATACTCAATTCTAATGATATAACAATAGTGTTTGATCTACTTCTCTCTCGTATGCTGTGGAGGTGCCACACCTCTTGGTGGATGAACATAAACTGCTAAATATCTTTAATTACGCATTGGGTGACTTGCTTTTTTTTGAGCTGTCATCATATTTGTGTCATATGTCATGCTGACAAAGCCAAAATGTACAAACAACAAATAGCATTATTATTGTATTTAAAAGACAGTAGAGTTTTTGGAGATCTTAGTGACCTTATAGATATATCCAATCTAATCTATTTTGCTCTCTCCCACACACACACACACACACACATATACCAACCTGTATTGTGTGTGTGAAGTTGGAGTTTGGCAGCACGACAACACAGCTTGTTTGGAAACACTTCCCACAGCACTGGCCAGCGATGGTCTGATACTCATAACCCTGAATAGAGACACGAAGACTAACTTACCAAACAAACAATATACAATATATAACAGCATGAACATGTAAAAGCAACACAAGCTCTGGGTGCATTGTATTTTTGGGATTCAGGGTTGACTGTTGAGTTTACAGTCCAGCTCATATTTTCATTACTTCCAATGGCAGTAAATTGCCAAATCAAATCCGCCTCGACTAACGTGCGTGGTCGAAATACAGAATCTGTATGCATGCACTAGTGCTTTAAAATGTCCCAACAAGTGAACACAAACCACTTTTAAGCTTTAAACATTCTGCAGGTGATCTCATGGTCTTAAAGAAGACTTTTGAAATGGTGAACTGAACCATGGTCACATGTTCCTGTAGATGACCTGTCAGAGGCTTAGCTCTGTAGAATTAGAGAAGGTGCCCTCAAGCAGGCTTCAGTAGCATACTCCCTCATCTGGCAGTTCAACTCAGTAAAATCATCCCTCCCTAAATTCATTTTGTGCTCTTTTGTGCCCAAGGATTTTGCTCAATTGACATAATTGTATGTACCCATACAAATGTAATGTGTGGTGTTATCATAGTGTGTTGCTGTTATTTGCTCATTCCCAGAAGCAATAAAATCAGACTGGAAGAAAAGTACAGCAGGTCTGTCAGAGATGTTCTAAAGTGCTACATACATGACACCAGTGCTAACTGTTCATCTTGAAAGAAAAATCAAAAAATGTGTTAAATGAATGTTCTCATCAATAGACTCATGAAGAAAGTATGCAAGAATAAACTTAACAAATGTAAGTGTCTGAGTGAGGGAGGGAAAGACAGAGACTCATCTTACCAGAGGGCAGTGTGTGTCACATGGTATCGGCTCGCATTCTATTATGTTAAAACCGCTGCTGGCGTCTTTCCTTTCACTACAGCTGCACTTCTCACATGGCTTCATGGGCACCAGGTCTCCAACCTGGATGCACAGGGTGAGAAGGTCAGCAGAGATATACCTACTCCTGCTTGTAATCATTAGAAACTCCACTCAATGTAATGCAGTGCAGTACAGCGCCACTGCAAACTACAACTTCAGTCATAAACATAGAGTTATGTATTCATACATTTGAGTGTATTTCATGGCTGAGCTATTGATTTGAATTGCATTAGGTTTAACACGTTTAAGCAGTACAGTGGCCACTGAGTGTGTTCAGAGTAGACTTATGTAGGCCTGAACCAGCCCAATTTAATTCCATCTTAATTTAGCTCATGAATTCTACTTTCCATTAAAAAGAGAGACTGCTTTAGTCTGTTAGAGATGATATTCTCTCACATAATGTGACTGTTACTTATATGTTACATCTCAGCAGATCTAGTGCAAACATTCTATTAATAAAGCACTTGTGAACCACCTGTGTACCATGACGCAACCATGCAAATATTGTTTCTCCTGGATTCACAGTGAGATTCTAGGACACACTTATTTCCATGCAGATTTGAGCCTTATCCACTCTATCCACACATTCCACCCACTCTTCAACGAACTTGCTGTTTGATATGCTGTTCCCTATATATCGCACTAAAGCAGCTTTGTACATTTAGATGATCATGAGTTATGACCAAATTGTTTTCAACAATGACACAATCCTACAATCTCCCTATTCTTTAAAGTTGCAATGTCATCACTTCACATCAGCTTCACATAGAGATGGTAGATATGAGGTCTCACCTGATACACATTGTTTTGGAAAACACACACATTTTGAATCTCTGTGAAGGAAAGAGAACAACCAATAATCTTTATATGTGACGCAACAATCAGTGGCAACAATGACACCTGGCTGTGCAGTTACAGTAACATGCACAAGCACAGCACACTCACCGCAGGTAACATTGGAACAGCAGACTCCCATAGTGATTCTCTGAGTATAGCCAACAGGACAGGTCAGCACAGGAGGGCACAGCGTCACATTGCACTCTGTTTAATGAAGGAGGGAATGTTCACACCAGTAAATAAGAACAGCGGTTTTTGTATTTGGCTATAAATATTCGCAGACATAGTTCATACATTAGAACTCCATCAGCTGCTTCCTTAACTGGTACATGAACAGATATTGGCAGAACAGAGTTTCATGGTGGAGCTTTCATTTACAACCCTGCATCAGAGGTGTCCTGTCACACTGTCTGATACTAGAAGTGTAAGTCCCAGTGAGATGGAAGTTAGAGCGGTGTACAGTTACTCTTGTTGGTAAAAGTTGCAGATTGATTGATGGATGGAGGTCATAATAAATGTGGTTGATATTGGTTAGAAGAAGCTTCATATCTTGTTTTACAGGAAGGTGAGATCATTGGATTGTGTTATAAGTACACAATATGACTGGGGATGTGATTTAAAGGGGTGACAATTGCTTTATTCATTTCATTTAAACTTTTATGGACATTATTAGAATAAATTATTCGCAGTAGCTGTGTTATTAAGTACTGCTCAGGATGTTTCACTCAATGCATGCTGGGATATGCTCAATACTCCTGTCAAGAATGGCTGGATTACACGCTGTGTTGAATATACAATACAGTATATATGAATAAATACAGAATGTGTTGACTACAGTATTAGGAGTCCTTCTTGGTGCTCACTTACCACACTTCTCCTCTTGACAGCAGCCAACCGTGTCCGTGACCTTGACCTGCCCGTCTTGGTCACAGCTGAGGGACGGCAGTGTTGGACAGGAGACATGACGGCATGTGACCTGCAGTGTGTCCTCCTCACAGATACACTCCTTACAGCCTTCTATCCATGTTGCATTGGCCTGAGGACACAATGTTTATTGCAGATGGGAGGAGGCATGGCATCTTTACTGGCCTGTCACAAAGGTTAGTAGAAAGGGACTAGCATTGTAGTGAAATGACTTACGTGTGTCCATTCTCCATTTGGCAGCCGACAAATTTCTATTAAGAGAAAAATATAAAACATAAAGCAGTTTGTGTCTCAGCTTTCCTAAATGACTACCAGTCTACTCCACCGTAAGCTAAATATACATAGACATACTAAAGTGGACTAAAGCAGCGAAGCAGAAGTGGGCAGTTGACATTTCTGAAAAGCGGTGAATGACAACAAACATCCCCCTCCAGATGTTACCATCCCTCTCGCTCCCACTGCCTGGATACATCCATGGCCTTCCCCCTGTCCTGTGCACAGGCAGGATCTCCCTCTGTTGCTGATCGGCTGGTATTAGTTTCTCAGGACGCTGTGTGAACACTGGATTGTATTTCAGTGCACACACAGAATGGAAAGCTAGCAGTTGATTCCTCTGACCTCTACATCCTCACTAAAGGATACGAACTGTATAAGTTTTGACTTGGTCACAAAAGGCCATCAAAAAGTGATGCACATTCTTAAATGCGACGTAGCTCTTGCCGTGCAGTATTGCTGTCTTACCACAGGTGGGCACACATTGATTAGAGCTTGCAGAGAGGAGGAAGGTTCCATTTGGACAGAAGCAACCCTCCAGCTCCATGCTTGTCATGGCACTAAACTCATTGTCAGTCAAGATGAATTTCTCGTTGTACCTGCAGACACAACAACATATTATGTGAAGGCCACGCCTTGATGTTGTACAGTATGTGAGTCAAAGCATAAATGAATTGACTCCAATGTGTTGGTGAACTGCCGTACCAGGATTCACAGGTAGACTCCACCTGAGGGCCACAGGCCCGATACACTTTGGGACTCGGGCATTTATATTCTATTAAGACATGAAGAGAGAACATATCATGATTTTTAGTTGAGCTCATTGCTGTTGTATTGTCAGTGAAATGATAAGTAATAGAAATAGTGCTTGACTTTAACATCACATATTCTGGTTACATACCACAGATTCCATTGGTGGCATTCCTCCAGTCAATACAAACTCCAGCCTGAGCACAGGCATCAGCATAGGTTTGTAAGCTGGTGCAGCCAATGTGATTAATGTTCATGTGGCAAACGTCAAACTCACAGGCCAAAACAAATGGATCGTAGTCAATCTTCTTGTGGCAACTCTCAAACACACTGGGGAACATGGGATTTGTCATCAGTATGGACACTTTACACAATCTGAATGCATCATTACACGTTATCAAGACACGTGAATAAACCAGGAATGTGTTGCTTGTCAGGTTTGTTTCAAAGCTTTTTCTGCTATATAATCTGTAACAGTTCATCTGTCTGTTAAAGTAATGGCTTTTTGTCATTCAGAGAGACGTGTCTGTTATCTAAATGCTGTTGTGGCTTTATTCAGATATAACATGCCGGTGATGGAAAGAGCCACAAAGCTTGCATGATACTTGAAGAACATCGGTGAGCTGGAAAGCACTAAGATGAAGGAAGAATATTTTTTAGTTCGTGGACTAGCAGAGCCGTTCCATGTCAAATGACCAATCCTCTGATTGATGGACAACCTGCCACTAAACCACAGTCACCCACTGTTTTTCTATTACAACCACTGCTGCTGTTATCCTATTTTGATATTATTGGTGCTAATTACTACGTATTACTACGCTCATATGCATAATTAATGTTATAGGAGTTGACTATGGAGTACTATGTTGACTATGACTATGTTCTCTTACAGTATGTTCATTCTGTACACGTGACATCTAGTGCACTTCTGTCCATAGGAGAGGGATACATTCTCTGTTACTCTCCCAGAGGTTTCTTCTTTTTTTTAGAGTGGGGTGGGTCCCTTTCCGATGCAACGGTGCAAGGACAGAAGATGGCATGTGCCTTTGTAAAGCCCTCTGAGGCCAGTTTACAATTTTGGACTACACAAATAATGGGAATTAAATTGAATGTTTCAGATGAACGGTGTAATTTCTGGCTTGTTTTCCCCTGTTCCTCTTACCTGCTTTTGATGATGTCACAGATGGTTGTATTGCAGTCATCAGGCGGAGGTGATGGTGTCGGGTAAACTCGGTCACAGTCAGTGTCATTAGCATGCCACTCATGTGCCATGTCAGGACATGAAGGATCTATTTTGCCACTAGGCAACATGCAGTCATCTGTCCGGTTGTTGTCACATGTGCCTAGAGAAACCCTCATTATAAATCATGTTGATTGCATAATGTTTTAAATAGGTACAAAATGTTTTATCTGCTATAAGTATTGATTTCACAACATATACAAATGGTAAGCATGTCATTTATCAACTGCTGTTCAAACTCAACATACAGTAAGATGCTATCCCTTTCAACTGCAGGACTCACCACACTGTCCCACGGTGTTGCCGGCAAATTCACTATAGGGCAGATAGATACCGAAAATGAGCCCAGAGAAGGTGACCTTGGCATGGATTTTAGGGATGACAAGCACTGTTTCAATGCCGGTGGTGATTATACGGAAGTCATCATTCTGGTACGCAGGACTTACACGCTTGTCATTCACAGAAATCTAAAAAAAAGCAATGTGATATAAACGTCACAAATAACCATTTAAAGACTTCTTTGTAAGGTTCAATGCACCTACAGTTAGCCCTTCTTTACAAAACAAAGAAAGTTGAATGAATTCGATTCAGGCTTAATGCTGCTAGGATCATGACTAGAGTTTGAATTAAGAATGGAGAAAGTTAATAGTGCCATGTACGTACCTCATTTGTGAAATTGCCATTGATATCCTTCTGTATAATATAGATCTTGTAGCTTTGATAGAAGACGGTGATGGACTGAGGACAGGATAAGCCATCACCACAGTAGTAGTTATCAATCATAACACTGAAGTTGTATTTGGGCGAGATCTCTTTCATCAGCCAGTAGGAACAGTTGCCTTGAAAATCATAGTAGGTTCCATCGAAGGTGACATAATGGGGGTCTCCCCAACCGTAGCAGGTACCTTCATATGACACATATACAATATTTTTAAAATAACATTTCAAGTAAGCTGGTATCATCTGAGACATAATGTCCATAGTTGAATTAAATATAAGTAGCATTTTAAAAAACAGAATATTGCAGACCAAGCAATATTTTAGGCGGTCAGACTTACATTGGCATTCCAGCTGGGGGCAGCATCCTTCAGCATCCAGCACTTCAACAGGAGGGAAATTATTTGCGCACACTATAGGCTTTGGAGGTGTACATGGCTTTTTGTTATACGTCACCTCGCCATCGTTACATGTTCCTATAACACATTCACTCTCCAGCCAAACTTCACCATTCTGTAAGGACAACAATAGATTGGAATTATAGAGAAAAGAGAAGGCTGGTGTATATATATAATAACCTATTAATTAGTCATGCAAAGCAAATGTAATGATAGCATTTTAAAGATTGAGCAGTACTGCTTAACAATTGCATATAAAAACACAGTTAAATATGTATAGAATGGAAATAAAGAAGTACCTGTCTTGGAGGTGTTACAGTAACACACAATATAGGACACAGTATGTGTTTGGGTACTACATGACAGCTCGCATTGCAGTATCCTATGTAACATTGGCCATCATCGTCCGTCACATTGTAAACTATGGAGCCTGAAAATTAGGCACAGGAAGATTGTTGAAACATACGACAACCACACATCACATATCACGATGTGATTTAATCTATGAGAGAGGCTATCATATAGCACACAGATCACACAGATGTATATGTACTAATTACAAAAAAATTAACCCCACAGAAGGCTAGTGATCTGCAGCAGGGCTAGGTCTGTGGTCCATATACCTAACTCCTCTCTGCTAAGAATCCTTTGACGGGAGAAGAGCAGGCGGAAGCTCCAGAGACTAGCTAGCTCACTAGCCAGCAGTGAAAATGGACAAGCTAACTAAGCCACGGAGCTCCCATCTGCCTTCTTCCCTAATGTGATTGCCAGCAGCGTAGGGGTCGGCTACTATGGTCGTCCTTTTGGTTGATATTATCTTTCTGAAGTAACACTTGTGGTCTCGAAGAGTGAGTAACTGTAAACATTGAGAGAAACTCGTTTCTTCAGCAATTATGAAAAAGAGCAGGACTTGCTCGCCAGTGTTAAGTAACAGGTTCAGAGAATTATTCTGCCTCCCCCTATGCTCCATCCACATAACTATGTTATTATGTTTATCAACAGAAAAGGGGTCAATTTGTAATATCTAAGCCATTCAACTTCCTTTACACGTTTGGCTACTGTATTTCCAATCTTTCTGATCATCTGACTCATGTTTCCTGCCCTGAATTTGTTGTACCGATGTCACTGTCAGAGCAATGAAACTTTAGTTTTCTAACACATTAATTGTTCAATAAAACTGTCTGGTTGGTTTAAAACATTCTAAATGTAAAATAAGGTACTTAAGTCTTGATAAGATGATGTGGAGGACAAGGTCTTTATTAAGCTGAACTTACCAGGGTTGAAAGATGTACCATTATGAAGGCAAGAGCAAAGTGGTTTAGTAGGTGGATGCGAGGAGGTTTCTTCTGTCACTACAGGTAACGTATTTGTGGCTGGTGAGGTGATAGTAGAAGTTGCTGGAGTTGTAGTAGTTGTTTCAGTTGTGGTAGGAGTTGTGATAGGAGTTGTGGTGGTTGGCGTAGTTGAAGGTGTTGTAGTTGTAGGAGTTGTGGTGGTTGGCGTAGTTGAAGGTGTTGTAGTTGTTTCAGTTGTGGTGGTTGGCGTAGTTGAAGGTGTTGTAGTTGAAGGTGTTGTAGTAGGAGTTGTGGTTGGCGTAGTTGAAGGTGTTGTAGGAGTTGTAGGAGTTGTGGTGGTTGGCGTAGTTGAAGGTGTTGTAGTTGTTGTAGGAGTTGTGGTAGTTGGCGTAGTTGAAGGTGTTGTAGTTGTTGTAGGAGTTGTGGTGGTTGGCGTAGTTGTATGTGTTGTAGGAGTTGTGGTGGTTGGCGTAGTTGAAGGTGTTGTAGTTG